ATCTTGGAAGTGGTAACTCGTGGCATTCTTAAGATAAATAGAAACAAACTTAGATTTGGCAAGAAATTTCGTCACAAACGAAGCTTGAACAAGTTTGGTAAACGCGAAAATGCAATAAAACTTATGAAGGGCCAAAGATGTATCAGATAATTTAAATTGATATGGAAAACGTTTCCGCCCAGAACTTCCTTGTTATTCTTCCGGTGTGGGATCAACTTCCGTTGAACGATGATAGGAGGTCGTAAGTGGGGACGATGGAATGTTTACACAATCGGTACTAATAAATAAAGCTAATGTTATTACACATGAATCTATATCGCAAATGATTAATTACCCCAACAGGTTCAATCGAGTTCAAATTACTTTATTTTTATACAAAATATATATAATTCTATAAGAAAAGCTCAATGTGGTTAGAGTTTCTGTTTTTACGGGCGCAAAAGCAACATTTTACAAGTAGGAGATAACACTTAAATTTTTCGATGGATGACCCTCGAAATTCCTTTTTGAGAAGGTACACCAACATGTATGTAAAAAAGCTCCGGACATACAAGGGGCGATAAAGAAGCGAGCCTGGTTAGCTTGATTTAAAATAGACCCCAAGCTTAACCGACTGTGAATATATTTTGACGAGATAATGTTACGGAATCATCGTTATTTACATCCACGCTATTTATCATCAGATAAATTTGTACCTAGAAAATTGTTCATTAAATCTGAATAGTATATGAAATAGCTCTTCATGGGGATATGACCATTTAGATTAGTTAGAGTGTTCCTAATCGAAATATTGTTGCTGGTAACAATTGGCAAAAGGGGTGGATTTTGATTCAATAGGAGCACTGTTTTTTTTTCGGGTTTATAAATTTATGATTGATAACATGGAAAAAATGACTGCTATTATGTACATATTGATTTAGATACATTTCCGAAGAAATTATTCCTATTTGCAAATGTAAGTGAAAAATCGACTGCTACCACAATTGTGGTATTTCCCATAAAAAACTTTCCATTTTTTTATTATAAATTTCCATCACAAATATCATGGAATCCGTTTTTAGGAGGATTAAGAGTTTAAACCGAGGTTAAAAGGGAGAACGAACTCAAATTGTCGTCGTCAAAAATAATTGGCGGGAATTTCAAAAGTAAACAAGAAGCAAGGTTATGTAAGCAAACTTGTATTTTGCAATCGAATGTTACCATGACCGACCCACGTAAAAGTGACATATGGATATGTAAGTTTGTAACTGACCAAACATGGACAAATAAAAAAAAAATAACAATTTCGAGGTTGCGATAACAAAAGATTGGACAGATAGGGTCAACTGGGTGTTGAAAGCTGGCACGCGAGCGACAGACTGGCGCGATTTTTCGAGCGAGGCAGTGATAAAGAGAGAAGAATTGATAAATCATTGGCCGCGATTTGGATTGATTTCTTGACGACGCGATAAACCACCAAATAGTATTAAATATTTACCGATCGCCAATGCAATGAAATAAATTGGGCTACAGATAGCTTGTTTTTTTTAGTCCCGCATTACGTGCACAAAGTATTCCTGTTCGGTGACGACACATATTTGAAGTTCAAACCAAGGACAAATGTACTTCAAGGTCAAAAACACCTTGTTGAATAAGAGGACTCTTGCTTAATATAATAAATAAAGAAGCGCTTTAAAACACCCCAGAGTGACAAACATAGCGATCGTAACACAAAGCAAACATCAGTTTATCAATGATATATCACATCCCTAGATACACACAAGTGCTCTTTTCAAGATACCGACATGACTATAATAATCGGAAGCTTTGATGCCAAGCGGACTGGACAGCCGGGTAGAACTGATTTACGCGGTTTGCGTAGATGGGTTACCCCCTTTAGATACACACCCGGAATATCTGGGTATCAATGATGAATAAAAGTCAATTTTTAATTAAAGAAGATCAACTACGCATTTGAATCATTATGGCAAAAGAACTGAAACTGAAAATGTTGATACTTCGAAAGCTATATACAGGGTGTCCGAAAATTTCGCTCGATTTTACAGTAATAACAATTGTAAGTTGAAATAAATTTTATTGTATGATAAATGAGAACTACAAGCACAATCAGAACTATTAATAAACAAAGACAAAGAAATATTTAATTGTTATTGCTATAAAATCGAGCGAACTTTTTTTGGACACCCTGTACATTCCAAAAAAGTAAAAGAAAACCTATATAACCTCAGGACACACAAAATCTTGAATTGGGATTTCTACAGCATCTATTTAGCTTACCAATATTCGCAAGGAGTAACTATTACTCGGAATCTATTTCTAAATTATATTTAAACTTGACATTCACTAATGAATGCAATGACGTTGCATTTAACATCATGCATCGCTACATGGTATTTCATTTTCTGTTTATTGATTATAATTTGAATTCAATTTATCAAAACATTTTATTACGTTACGAACTAACAGTTAATTAAATAAGTCTGCTATTATCCGCGACGTATATTTTGCGATACAAGCGTAGATGACGAATACCGGAAATTTATTATAACGTATGCACTGAATACTGAGCAGGGAAATTGTAAAAAAATGCAATAATATTATCAAAACAGATTTTAGAAAATATAAATGACGTTGTTTAGGAAATCTTACTATGCTTTTCTGACTACTTTCTGTACAAAAAAAAAAAAAAAAAGTTACGGCAAATGGATATATCCAAAATTAGGTAAAAAGTTACGGCAAATAAATACATCCACAATTAAGTATATATAATGAATTTCGAATGCACTGAAATACTCGACACGTTACCGATGATTTTGCTAATCATAACTAACTTTAAACATTAACTATACCTTAGCAACTTTGACGATAAGCAAATACTAATCTCCCAAAATTCATCACTGACTCGACGAAGTCCCCAAAAAGGCCAAATATTCGACCAAAGATATCTTTGTTCAATACAATTCAATAGATGCCATGTAAAAGATTGTTGATTCAGTCGTGCGCGCACAAAAGACCGAAAGCCCGCGTAAAATCCTACCAACCGACGCTTAGCATACCTTTCTTTTGTGTTTACTGTTTGTGCCGCCTAGTCTTTTTGGTTATTAGAATATTATGAATTTAACGTGTTCCCATTTAGATAAAACTCAACGAAGGGAACACACATTTTTGCTGGGTGCAGGCATGTCATTTTTGCCGCATGGGAATTATTTTCATTCTACAGTAGCGTAGTAATTTTACCGAATGCGCAGTTATGGACAACGAGAGAGAACACTATATTATATTCATCAAACTTAGTTTTGTTGATATCACGTAGGTTTCCATAAATCACAGATATTTAATTTGAAGCACTTTGGGTTGTAGCCATACACTTTGATAGTGAAGATTTACCGATATTGGAATTATCAGCCTACATACACCAGTCTCTTAAATAGGCTACAATGATGGTAATATAATCAACATGGCCCAAGTCACGCATTGTGTATTTAGTCGACGGCAGATGTTTACCGTAGTTATTTGAATGTCATTGGTACAGGGAGACTTAGATTAATTCATTTATAAAAGACGAGGGACGGATTTAATCGTAACGTAAAAATCACCAAAAAGTCAATACAAATTTCACTTAATCGCTGATACAAGAAATATGACATGTACAATTTTAAATAATATACATAATTTTAAGTAAATACAGTACCGGTACTATAGGCTAGAGATTTTCAATAATTTTTTTCAACTAATATGTTTCCTAACTTATTGGGTTACAAAGCCAATAGGTCGTCAACTTTCGTTATTCAAAAATAATACCCCACGACGAATATTTGAGAAAAAACATTGTGTTACCATCCAACTTCTTGGAATAATTTCATTTCATTAAACGCCATTTGAATAAATTTGCTTTCTAAATTAGGAACATTAATAATTGTGCACATACTGGCGAGTTCAAACGCGAGATTGATTAGATTTAGTTTCATTCAGCAGGTCACGTTATAAATCATTATAAAGGTCGCTAAATTGGTGACGAAATCCATTTTTTCATAATAAGGAAGTGAATGAAATTCTTGTAAAATAAAGTAGTAATATTCAACAAGATTTTATCGTAATTCCTAAGCACATTTACAAATACGCCGCGAAAGGCAATCGACTGACCGAGAAATCATATTTCGATTGCAATTGAAAGCGAATATTATTATTAATTAAATATTGATGTATTTTTAAAAACCAGTATCGTTCAACTTGAACTAGTTTTCCAATTTGCAATGGGTCGAAGAAAGATAATAGTTTCGATTGAGCAAATTCCAGTAGCGCTGTTAGTTGCGAAAACAACAGAAGATCTTGTGAACGAAAGTTTGCACTCCTACCGTCTATCTATCCCAACCAACAGCCGACGAAAAGTGACATGATGTCCAGTGCAAAACGCACCAAAAATATTTTATGCCTCAGCATTCATGTTTGCCGTCAATTCGTAGATTTAACGATCACTGTTGATACGTTGATCTGTAAGTCGGCTTCTTCTTTCATCTCACCGCGTCCTTTCTTTCATTCAACAAATGAGTGACAGCTTTGTATATTCGTAGTACTACCCCTTGTTACTTTTCAAAATACATCTCCAATTCCTTATCCTAGATATATTCAGCGATTCCTCTGACTACCCCGTGAAATAGAATTGCTGCAACAACTTTCAACTTTTGCCTTCGAAAATTTTGTTCTTTAACGTTACGTTAACTTCATACCTAACCAGTTCCAAATTCCATAGTCGTCAAAAAAGTTAACGAATTTCCGGCTTTTTAACGACCTGATGTCATATTATTCCAACTTAAATCAAACAGATCGTATGAAACATTCAAATAAGCGTCATTGCACGATCGCATGAGCATAGCAATATCAGATTAGATTCTAGAATATAAAGTTTAATGTAGGTATTTCGCCCTGACTTGACCCATTCCCAAGGATATCTTGCAGATTTTATGAATATATTGGACCTACAAATAAAGTACTTCACTCACCCAACTGACTGTTGAATTTCAAAAAACAAGGGTCGGTCTCCTGGATCGTACGACCAACATCTAAAAATTAATGGAAACTTAATTACAAAGATAAAAAATATTGAGATTTGCACACTCAAAATGTGTTTTATAATTTCAGACAAGAACCGCTGCCAAATTTGCTACTTATTCACTAGTAAGGGCTAGAACTATTCAAATATATATATAAATTCGGATCCTTAACAGTTACAGCAAACTTACATACAATCAAGTTACAATTGTTGCATTGAAACTTAACTGTCTTAATAGACTTAGAATTTATGTATTTAATTTGAAAATAATTCAATTTCAAACCTCAGAATTCGGGAAAACTTTTTAATCTTAGTAAGAATTGTTTAGAATGCAATTTGAGACAATCGGGAATTACTGATTATGTCAGTATCCAAACGTTGTAAAATCAGTCCATTATGCACATCGCACAGCACAATTTTGAAACACAAAATCTCCACCCAAAATAGTCAGAAAGCAAAGTGACAGCTGAAAACAATCCAACTTTGTCACTTCAGTTCGAGTTCAGTCATGATAAAATGACGAAGGGCATGAACGATTCAACTTACCTTTCCATGAGTGTGTACATATCATGAGGACATGTAGATGGCATCGCTAATCTTTCACCGTTCTCGATTTTGCCTATGACGTCATTATTTTTGACTCCCTGGAATGGCTTTACTCCCATCATAAGAATCTCCCAACAGCACACAGCTGAAATTAAAATATTTTGATGGTTGAAAAAATTCTGGATCTATGAGAAATTTACAAATTTCAGAAAGACATTGTAATATTTATTTATTCAAAAAATCACTTTTTCTATTTTCAAAGGCATTGTAATATTTATTTATTCAAAAAATCACTTTTTCTATTTTCGTTTTAGAAATTGTGGGACCATGAATATTAGGACAATGATAATAACAACTATCATTTTCTCGCCAAAAAAAGGCAACCCTAAACATTGTTCCTTGCAACCAATGACAGATTTGTTCTTTCGAGCGCTGTGGCGTAGTGGTTAAAGAGTTGGACTTGACTATGACGTCATCGTTGGGTAAAATCCCATACCCACCACCTTACCCAGAGGGTAATAAATTAAGCATATATTTTGGTGAATTTTATATTTTCACGTTCTTAGTATCATAAGAACCATAAAATAGTTACCAAACATCCACACGTCGGTTGCTGTTGTAAACCTCCGGAAGTTGATCGATTCCGGCGCCATCCATTTGATCGGAAGTTTGCCTTTTGAGGCTAAAACGCAAAAAGAATCATTTATAATGACGTCGCGTCTACTAAATTCAACAGGTGTGTATTTTTATTTTTTATCAGGTAGTCGATTTACCTGGAAATTACCAGTCTAATTCACGCATTGAATTTATTTCAAAATAAGCATTAGTTAGAAATACTTTCAGCAAAAGTCTTTGGACGGCATCGCTTTTGAAGCAATAACTTTATGAACCGGTTTGCTCAATAGCGCCACGCGTGGCAACACTATTTTCTCCTTACCTGTGTAATAATTCTGATCTTCGATATATCTTGAAAGACCGAAATCTCCAAGTTTGATACAATTTGGCTCCGCTACAAGAATATTCCGAGCAGCAATATCTCTGTAAGTAGAAAACAGATAATTTATTTGAACTTGAAAATGTTTCCATTCAAAAAACAATACAAAGTGAAAGAATAATTTATAAAGGAAAATCCAACATGTCTGGTGTCCCATTTCCCCCATGCTCGTCCCTTTTTAGAGCACACTTGTCCCACTAGGGTAGACATATTGTGGGGCATATAGTTAATGTATATGCAGCAAGGGCGTAGCCAAGAGACAGAACCTGCGAGATTACGAGCTTCGAGGACATCCTTGCATTATAAAGCGGTGTTATATTGTTATTCGTCGGTGGCTATAAATTCATTTCTCAATTCATGTTTTATCATAATTAATTCCTGGTCACACCGCAGATGCCGCCATTTAGCAAGTAAAAACCGGAGGAGGCAGTTATACAGTATTCTTTTAAAAAATAAAAAATAATATTAACCCTCAGTTACCAACCTGTGAACGAATTTCTTCTTTTCGAGATAGCAGAGAGCCTGACTGAGTTGATACGTGTACAGTGTTAACATTACCATGTCGAGGTTATATTTGTTAGTTTGAAGATAAGAACGCATCTGAAAAGAAATATACGTCATGACCACATAATGACGTCACAAGGAGTCATGGATTCGGTGATAAGGATGACATTTATAATACTTACTTCTCCGTATTTGCAGAATTCCATGACGATCCATACAGGATGATCGGTACAGACACCGATAAGGCTGACAATGTGTGGGTGATCGAACTGTCGCATAGTATCTGACACATAAAAATTAGGAACATTAAAAATTGAACCTTACACATAGTTATGGAATGTTTTCAAATTTACGGCGCATTCACTTTTGCAATAGAAATCACGACGCATTAGATAGAAAATTTATTTTATAACCGAAATCAAAATATGGTAGAAAATTATATAATGTACTGCATGCTCCATTAATGCGATACCAGATATTGTTGCGTAAACAAATATAATGCAGCTGAATGTCCGATATAGCTAGTCACACTTCCCCCTTCATAAGTTTTAATATTAATCGCTTGATCATTTTTTGTCAAGTTCTAAACGGGTAATTTTTTGAGAAATGGGTTGACATTTCACGATGTTTTCGAAAGTATCTGTCACGATGCTAAACTTGGGAAACACTGAATTAGGTAACTACTTGGTAATTAATAAACCGGCATGTCACCTCGAATTGACTCGGCTAAGTTTGAAATCAAAGGTTGATTGAGACCAATATAATGCAATAACATCACTTACGTGCTTCTTCTAAAAGTCTTTCAGCAACACCCTGCCCGTCTGTTCCATTGAATTTGCATGTTTTGATCGCGACCGGTATGTCACGAGATCTAAATATATAACATTCAGAAAATAAGATTGAATGATATTTGGCTCAGACGTTGATGCTGTGGCTTGTCAAATGGGAGATTTTTGAGTAAAGATGACAGGGCGCAGTGTAACACATTTATTATAGCTTTCCCGATCTGCTTACAAGGAGTCAATAGACTGGGTCCGAGTGGGTGCCAAAACGGTGGTTTGAATGATTTTCATTACAGTGCAAATAAATTCAATGATGGGCTTACTTGGTCATGTTATGAGACCCAAATCGCCCAATACGATACCTTATCATGTGTCTAAATTACCATCCCGAATTATTGCTATAACCGAGAATGTGAAATATTGCATGTAGTTAATCTCGAATTAATTTGATTCGCTGTGAACCACCCTGGATCCGACCTTTTTCAATTTCTAAGTCGGCTATGTTAAAACTTTAATCGGTTCAACCAATATCCAACCTCGCCCTTTTCACATCTTGAAATTTGATTTGCGTATTCCCAAGTTCAATTTTCCATATACATATACGCACTACTTTGTATAAATAACTATTTGACTTCCAGAAAACGTTATAAACTTACATATATATTCCCTTGTGCACGTCTCCGAATTGTCCCTCTCCAATTGTGGTGACAACTGTGATTTCTTCTCTTGGTATTTCATAATCGTATCCTGCAATGCCAATGTTGCAATTTACAATGGATAATACAATGGATGGGTCTGGCAAAATTCTCCAAGGAATAAGAACATTTCCCTGATACAAACAGTCCTATTTGACAATTAATTAATAAAGCTATGATCGGTGATATAAACTGATGCTCCTTTTGCTTTGCAAGACCAACAGGTCCAACACCAAAATGAAGATATGTCGAATTCGTGTTTGATGGGAGAAACGCTGTTCTTACCAAAACAATCTGAACTTTACATTAGATGTAAGGATGAAAAAAAAACAGAAAATGGATAAGAAAAATCTACGGATAAAATTGTGTTATTGGCGTTTCATGCAGAATGGTTGGGAAAATAACATATTGTATTATAAATGCATATTATTTTACTTTTTAAATGTGTAGCTATTCGGGTGTAATAAATCCCACTCCCATGAGTAAGTTGCCAAAAAAAGAATTTGATTTCCATTCTCAATATAATTTTCGTAGATGTCTGAATTCAAATTCATCCAAAGGAGCAAATACTTGATCGAATGATAATACACCGTTCAATAGTTAATTCAGAATAGCTTCTGAGTTGAAATTCACTTTACACCAGTGGAAAAATAGTGGAAAAAAGTCTAACCTAGTAGTGAAAATGCCAATATCAGTAGTAAATCATGCGTATTTGTTATCATTTGAAATACATTGTACCATACCCAACATGCTTTTAAAGTCTATATTTATATTTGTATTTGAAGAGGTCTCCATCACCCTATCAAGGTATGTTCATAGTCACATGACAGTATAAGCAGTGAACAACTAATCATCTTTGTCGAAGATGAACTTACTTGCTGGCATGTTGTAAAGATCTTCTTCTGTGATCTCTGCGTAATCGTCGGTTTCTAAAGAAATAGGAAAAGAAGAACGACGTCGATTAGGATCAGGATTTGGCAATGTTTTATAAGAATCAAAATATAATCGGGGTATGTCCGTTTCTCCACCGCTTCTGGCTCGTTGGCTGCGACCGCCAGGACTACCATGATCGGTAACGATTGTCGGTATATGCGAATCACGTGTTAAAGTTTTCGCTTTATTGTTCTTTCGCGAGAAAAACGACGTTTTATTGGAAGCGGATTTTTTAGTTTTGCGCTTCTCTTCTGATTTGGTATTTTGGGTTTTGTCAGGCACGTTATCCTTACTAAGTTTCGGCTTTATAGTAGGCAACATCGGCTCAATCTGTTGAAGACTAACTGGTGGATAAGGTAACGTCTTCTCTTGTGGAACACCGACTCGATCACCATTATCCTGCATTAAAAGATACTTGTAGGCTGGTATACTGCTTGGTATATCATAGTCAAAATCTTCACATTTTTTTCGATACCATGGCTCAACGTTGAGACATCTTTGTTCACTTCCCAAAGAACGATTCCTGGTCTTTTGGCGTGGAATATCACCAGGTGGTACGTTCTCATCGCTGGAACGTTTAACATTGAACGAATTAGACCTGTTTGAGATCCCACCCCCGCGGGGTGAAGGAAGACGCCCAAACTTGGCAATATTTCCTTCAGAAACGGCCATTGTGTTAGAACGAAGTGTGATGTCTGTAATATGTGGGAGAACTAATTTTCCTAATTCATGTGGACGTCCTTGACGAAATCGAGGCTGGGGTGCATTTCTTTCAAAGCGAAAAGGTTGATTACCAGTTGCACTGACCCAGTTAATGGGGGTATCATACGGTGTGAATGGCGAAGTAGGAGACGAAGGTCCAGGTGATCTCGAAGACTGGGTTGGTATCGGAGGTAACGGAGAAGTGGAACGAGCTCGCGTTGCTGCTGCCATAGTTTTTGTACGGCTTGGCAACATAGGTGAATTTGACCCTACAAGATCAGGCACAGATCCAGCGATGTCAACTTTTCTTCCTCTTTTACTGTCAAAGCTGCGACTGCGCTCAATTGATTCGCCATCATTCGCTTTGCCTCCAGGTCCGTTTAACTGATATTCGTTTTCCTTTTTTTCCCTTTCATCTGTGGGCGAAGAAAGCTGCTTCGTTACGGGCATACCTTTGGGTTTCCAAAATGCATAACCACCTAATTTCTTTTTTAATTTAGAAGACTTGCTTGTTGAAATCGGTGTCGCTTCTGTTTCTTTTGGAAGTGTAGACCACTTCTTGTCTTCCGCATCTGATTTTCCACTTCTACTTCCGGGTCGCGTGGGAGAACAACAAAATATGCTGGACTGCATGTCATCGTCGATAGAAGACGAATTACTAAGAGGAGGTCTAGAAATTTTTACTCTTTCCTGTTCAATAGGCGGTAATGCTCTTCCGGTCATGTAATCAGGATAGTCACGATTTGAATTTTCAATAATAGCATTGGCACGCGGTCTAGACAAGTCAGCTAACAATGGGTCGACAAAGATTGCATCGGTATGGACAGCATATGACAGATTTCCCGATGATGTATTTCTGGGAATTTGTCCTCGATCCAAATCGCCTTCACAGCTTTTCAAAACTGAACGATAAGTCGGATGGGTATCTTGATTCGAAGGTCGAGAATACGATAAAGTTTTCGATTGGTACGGTTCGGCAAAACGATCGTATCTTGTCGAAAAAGTATCACTGTGGTCTTTCATAGGCATCCTCACACCTTGGCTTCGATAGGAGATAGCTTTATCTACGTTTGTTGGCAATTCGTTTACCCACGAAGCATCAGGTGATGTCGAATGTGCTGTATTAAAATTAATGTCCATACAAGTATAAGCGTCTTCAATCATGGAAACTCTTGAATTCTCAAGATTTATTTTTTCATTGGTTTGAGGGATGCCAAAATGTTGCACTCGTGATATTTCTTCAATAACTGGGATTGACTTGACGGGAGAGATAATACGTTTATGTAGTGTGGTATGTTTTCTACTATCTCTGGCGTTTTCTCTACTACTTTCACTCGAAGCCTCTTGGGGTATTTGTCTCGTAGCATCACCCGTGTCATCTTTATCGAGCGTGTTCATCGACCTCCACGCTCTACTTAAAATCGAAGACACTGAAAACTGTTTAACACTTGATTTTCTTCTTGGTAACGTGCAAATTGCATCCGTTCCCAAATCTACATACACATCTTCCGCCAGAGAACTTTTCTGTCTCTGACGGCCTAGGTTTCTCGGAATTTCAGGATATTTTTCACCGGCTTTAACAGACCCATCAAAGATACAATCGTCATCGTCGTCATTTATATCCAGATGGTCCGGTATATCTCGTTCATCAAGCTCATCTAGCGACTTACAATACCGCCTCTTATACATTATCATCAGCTAAAAAATATTAAACGGTTCCTTACAATGTAATACCGAGGAATATTTTGAAACTCGCTATATTATAACGTAAATATTTTTGGTACTGCTATTAGTTAAACGACCTCGATAAAATATACTAAGTTGAGCAAATCCCTATAACCAGTACTAATGATAATTTCCCTTCAAGACTGCCAAATATGTATGGCAAGTAACAAAAGTCTGATTTAAAAAACAATTTTAGCTCCAAAATAATATTTTAGACCAAAATTTCTGGTCGAACATTAAACGCATAAATGACGCAGTCGGGACAATACAGGGAAACTGTATTTCAGATGAGTAATAATAATTTGGGTGTTTCAACGACAGGTTACGAGTTAATGATATAAATAATGTTTGAAAATATAATTTTAAACGCGATAATAATAGGTTCATGGAGGTACACATCATAAAGTTATCATTTAATTTTTTTTGCAGGAAAAGTTAGGTATATATACAGCTATGATCCTTATCGGGATTCTTGTAGAATTTTTAAGCAAGATAATATTAGATGTTGTCAACAATCCGTTTAGAAAAAATAAACTAAATAGTAAACCGATCATTAGTGAGCTTACTAAATAGTCTAAATGAATGAATTCTGAATGAAGTATTGTTCCAAAAAAGCAAGTTTTAACATACAACACGAATCATGGTAAACCAAACCCAACCTGGAAAGAAGCAAATTTTTAGTCAAAATATATCGTTTACTTCTTACTAGTTCTTGTTTTGCTATAATTAAATCTGTTAGAAAACACTGGCATTAGGGCACAAATCTTTCATTTCATCACACTATATTCCAAATTTTTTTAATAAATTGTTTTTGATTTCAAAAACATAGAATATTATGTCTGAACTATTCTGAGCTTCCCTGATTTAAAATTCAACGAAATAAATCGTATCGAGAGTGCATAGCTAGGTGTAATGTTCATGAGATGAATGAAAGGAAACGATAAAGGGAAGTCAGAATGTTTGAAAGAGTGAAGTATACAAGTTTTTAGTGGCTGATGACGCCATTTAACTGGTTCAAAAGCGAGTTAATAAGTACTCAAATCGTCTAAATGCCAGATCAGTCAATTCGCACTATAGTAGACGCCGCATCCATACAACTAACAGCAGGTTGGTAAACTAGTGCAATTACTCTATAACCACAAAGGGAATTATTGGGATAACAGGCAATTTCAAAGGAGTTTCCATCGACTCTTAAAACTGGGATTCAAAATGTAAATCGCGTGTTCATTCTGAATTACTCCATGACGGCAACTAGTCTCAAAATTTTTTAATATGATTGGACACTGTTTCGACTCATAATTAAGATAGGTCACTCCAGAGTAATGGTACGCAGTAGAAATTATCTTGTACGGGTCTGTACATGAAGCACATTTCGGTGTGTTATTTCAACATTGGCCCATACTACGCAAGTATACAGTATCCTATTTAAAGTATAGCAAGCGTAAATGGCAAGTGTGAACAATTTACCAGGTCGTGGGCACAAATAACTCGAATGTGACGACACCATAAAAATCAATAAACCAGGTAAGTGAAGGTGCGCCCACGTGCGGATGTAGTAAGCTTGGTTCGCGTCGTCTAAATACCTGGTGCCAAAGTAATCTGTTTGAAATTGATTTTTTTAGCTTCCTACTGTGGTTTGTAAACAAGGCACAATAGCCGAAAGGAGAGCAACTGGAAGATATCGAATTCGTCTCGGTTCATCTTTCCCTTTATGCAAGGGGTTGAAGTTTGGATATTTGTACACCAATTTTGCAACAAAATGACTGAAAAGTGTGCAACTCATAATTTTCTTGAAATAATCCAGATAATTGAGATGAATATTTCGGAAATGAATATTTATCAATCCCGTCTTAACGGGTCAATATCAATTAATATTACGACATGCGATACGACAAGTACGACGAAACAACTATCTCCGAATATTACGTATTTTAGCCTGGGGCGTTCTTTTTTGCTACTGTCGACTGAATTGCGGGTATAACGAGAATCAATGTTCAGAAAGTCACTGTTGTTGACAGGTTCTATCACAAGTTTTGAATTTTTGCCATCAGTTTATTTAGCGTAGTTTTATTAAACAGTGAAACTGGAATAAAATTGTTATTATTGGTTAGTGACAGTGTATGTTGTACTGTGAGTATTTTTATTCACATCGTGTTCTAGGCGATTTTACGATACTTATGTTGATACTGTAATAAAGATCATCTTAGTTAAGTAAGGGTTGAAGTAGAGTGCATTCATGGCGCAGAAATAATGATTGAGCGAAAACTATCATGTCAAGATTAGGAAGTAATGTATATACATCGGCTGATAGATATTATTGGCACGTAAGCATGCCAACTTGTTCATAGAACAGTTGAAAGCTCTAACAGTTCCAATTCGTATCCATCGTATCTACGAAGTCTAAAATTAATGCAACTGAAAGCATTGCATCGTTGAATAGTTATATTAAATTGTGCGTCTTCCTGACATTTTAGATCAATATATAAGAATATAATGTAGGATAAACGTTGAAGAATAATCGTGAAAATGCACCTCACTAATATCCGTGCTAACAATATTAAAAAAAGACACTTATTGCATCAACAAATATGGATTTACAAAAAGTTCGAAAGAGAACTGCGATGAAAGATTTTATTTTAATACTTATATATTTCAATGTTTTATTGGGAAAATTAACGTTGGCATGTCCGTGTAGATATTGTGGACCGACAACACTTTGCCATAAGATGGGTTTATTAGAAGTTCCATATACAATACCCACTAGTGATGTCACAAGGCTTCTTTTATACGGGTGAGTGCGTTTGCGATATAAGAAAGAGATTACTGGTACATAGTGACCAAAAAATGGAACAAATAAATTTTTAATTACTTCTACGAAAATGAAGAAAATTTATTTAACACTTGAACTTCTGTTCGTGTATTATCGATCGTACACAAAGATTATTAGTAATCTAGGCCGCTTTGCATAAAAGTTATGTTCTCTCTAGTACGATATGTACAGCAAGATGTTATTTATGTGATGATGACGAATATCAGAAGCCTCCGTCATCAGAGAAAATACATAAAATAAAATTATTTGCGTAAAAATCAATTGTGAAATTGTTAACAGGAATCGAATATCAAGTTTGGGAGCGAACGAATTCAAAGGAATGTTCAAGGTTACAGAACTGGATCTCCACGACAACAAGATAAAAGAAATTCATGAAAAAGCTTTTGTTGATCTCTGGGAGCTAGAAATGTAAGAAAAAATTTGTCACAGTAATTTGTACGCTGTTTGTAACTGTAGCATATACCTTGTTCAACAAATCATGTTAATACCAAAGAAACAGTGTGGCCATATTGTGATTAGGCGACGTCAGTATTTGCAATGACACAAATCACGATCAACTGGGGGCTATGCGAAGTAATTTGGCTTGCAAAAGTTAGAACAATGGCGGTTCCGGTTATTCGCTTGACAATTTACTTAAAGTGAATCCCTAAGACATGGCGATGTGTTGCATCTATTCCATATCAAGTTTTCAATACCACACTTTAATATTGCATTCATGTTTCTATAATACAGTCTCCACTTATCTGAAAACAACATCGAATACATACCACAGAGCACACTGTTACGTCTACCGAAATTATCCAGATTATTTTTGGACAACAACAAGTTAAAACAACTCCCAGGTAATTGCATAAGTAATTTATTACAAGATACGCCTAGTTCGTTTGATTTCGACATTTCATCATGTGAACGATATTCAAATGGCTTGTCTGTAGGAGCATATTGAACTAAGGCAGCTGGTAGGCAAAAATACCACAGTATGTTTTGTGAAAAGGCAGGTCGCGACAATTGTTAACTCCGAGTAGACTCTTATGACAACCTCTAAAATCGGATTGAATATTTATTTTACAACATTCCAAATCAATGTCTAAAACACGATAATGCGGGAAGTTTAAAACGATTATTGATGCACACAAAATTATAAAATTCATTTCGCTATGCCACAAACAAGATAGTGGTAGCCCGACTTCTTGGGGCTATCTATAATGACCATTGGACATGTATATTTATTAGACTTTTACTTGTCGCATTCCTACAACCCAATGAACATGGGTATTCATTTTATGAATCACATTGTTGTGTGTATTGTTGTGAATCAAATCAACTAGTTATTCGAGGCACCATTAAATCGTTATGATTTGTATGGTTAAACTAATGTTACCTGATCGCTGAAATTTTAATGACGTCAAACTAAGCCTATATTTGAATCATTTCAGCTTATCAAAACAAGCTAAAGAATGCGCCGACACCTCATTGTATAATAGGACTCACTATTGTATTCCTGGTATATCAAATCCAAAATCGTAACAAAAGATAATATTATGAAATAAGTACATAGTTAACAATCTAAATTAGGTACTTGCTACACTACACAGTAACGAAAATAAAATAAAAATCTCACTTTTTCGTCGTAGTAATGGTTTCAATGGAGGTCCACTCCGCGGCGGTGGGGCGGTTTCTTCGTCGCTACTTGATGTCAACGGTGATAGCTGCGGTAGCTCCTCAGACCCACTTAAACTGGGTGCTTTTTCTACCGTAGCTGCCCCAACAAGTCTGGGGCTACCCTGTCTTGCTAAAGGCATGTGTGATCGCGGCATAGGTGGTGATATATCCAAGGGTGGTGGAGTGGGTGCAGGCGGTAAAGGTTCTTGTAATAGATCTCTCCGCTTCATAGCTACAGGCCGAGTTCTCTTTGGTATAACATTCCTGGGTGGCGACGGAGTGTGGGGTGGGGGTACTGGAGGAGGGGGTAACGGTTCTACTTGTCTAGCTTTTCGTAACATAGCGTCCGTAGGCATAACCAGTTCACGATATCTAGTTCGCATTGGCTCTGCGAGCATCATGTCATCAGCCCGCTTTCTCGGCAACGTATTCTCTTGGGCAAACATTACTCTCGCGTCGATTTGATGAGGAAGAGTACGCGCATATGCCGGGGTAAAACCACATTTGTCGTCAATGAATTTGGTATTGGTGACGTCATCTAATGATGACATCATGCTGTTGACATTTTCGATAATTTCCATGTCAGGTGGTTGAAAATCGTTTCTAACGATTCCATGGCGCCTGTTACGCTTCCCCGGAGCGCCGTCCGCTGAGTTTACTTTTCTGGCAACATTTATGTTTTCAACTTTATTCAGATTTTCATTTAGTAATCGCCCAGGCGAGGAAACTTTCTTTACGACTTTGGCATATACATCAACTTCTCGAACTTCAACTTGATCGTTGAATTTTACGGTTTTAGGGTTGGGCTTTTTATCAACTTTTGCGTATAGTTCATCAATATCCACTGTATCTTCAGCTGGCTGATAAAGAAGGTCATTTTTATTTCGAACGCCTATGACACCTTGCCTATCAGATGCAGTAGGCGAAGATTTCTGTCGGTCGTTGTGAGATTTCGAAGGATCTTTTTGTATTCTGGCGTACACATCACCATTATGAAGGTTTGTTTCCCATGAAAAGGCAGTTTCTTTTTTTACTTCTAATCCTAACTTCACGGCATCGACAGTCGAATAAGGATCTTCTTCTTCTTCGTTTTTAGCATCAACAAACATCAATTTTCTACCGTTTGTTGGAAGTGTCTCAGCTTTTGGGTGTCGGCTGAACACGGGCGACTGAACGTCGACTATGCCGGTTAATTTGCTTATTGGTCTGTGTAATGGCGACCGATCCTCTATTGTAGAATAAGGGTCTTCAACCGAGACAAATACATCCATTTTGAATTTTTTATCAAGAATTATATTTGTCTTAGATGCAAGAAAGTATGTAGGGTTCAGATTAGATAAACAATAAATCTTCCAATCGCTACAAGATTATATTTTGACATAAAAGAGAACGCTTTTTACTCTTAATTAATGTAATGCACACCCCACGCACCATATTTTGTCCACCTCCTCTCAACCTTATTATACTGACTGAAACACCGTGACATTTTCAAGGTATGCTACATATATGCAATACAAACTACCGTATTTTATCTCTGCAAATTATTCCTTCAATAAAATCGAATCTAAAATATATTGTCAGCGTCAGAATAAAATCAGCATACCGCAACTTGAAACAATTTAGGAAAATTCGCTTTCCGTAAACCTTATACCATATTTTACTAAATACATCCATAATAGCAGGTGCCGTTAACGAAACGTTAAAATCCGTTGGAATATTTTTTCAATCAAATCGATTCTCAAGGGACGCACGTTGCAACAATAAACTTTAGCGTAAGCATTTGACAGTCATACGTGTAATATTAGTGCAAAAGCAATTCATGAACCATCATATGAACCAGACACGCAATCAAGGAAATAAACATTATGCTTATCATATGTTATTATGGTGTTAATTGAATTTGAATAATATACTATGCTAAGCATGGAGCCATATTATGTTATGGAAGGGCCAGCTATAAACAGCATCTTCGTCCTCATAAAATCAGTAATGTAATAAGTAACAAGTCCATCTAATGAATAATAGAGTCTTCGCCCACTGCGGGAATTTCATTTATAGTAAATATAATAAGGAAATGCGACTTTCATTTTCCATGGGTGTCTTCCTATTGTATGTCTTAATCCATTTAAAGTATTCAAAATCGGATATGCACTGATTGAATAACATCATCTATAGAAGATTAATCTACCATCTGTTATTATAATTGATACTTGAACCCATATTGGTACCCGATATACTATAGCTTCAGTGTCTATCAAAGAAGGACATTGGTATTCAGTTCCATAAGCAATATCGTTTGATTGCCTTCTGGGAATATTAATTTGGTAAATAAATCAAAACAAGAGACGACCTATAACCCTTGTAATTGTGTACATTGATGAGAGTATTATAGTGAACAAATTAATTTGTATTGTTATACAGGGCGGACAACTGTAACTTTTATTATACTTTTGACACACTATGTATATTATATTTACTTACTTAATCAAAGCTAGCCATGCAGGGAATACTCATTTAAAATTGATCAACCCCATTGAAAAAACAAATTTAATGCAATGTTTCGTTAAAATCAACAATATTGAACAGGATATTGGAATTGGAATCGCATCACGATGGAATTGGACAAAAAAAACTAGCATTGATCATTTATAGTTGTTAAACCCGAATTAGTGAAATATACAAAGTCCGTCAAATTATGGCTTGTTTTATTACGGTTAAGTGACCTTCCCGTATATGTATATATCTATTCAATCAACGAAAACGCACATATTGCGCCAACTATACTGAATATGGTAAATTACCGCAATTAAGAAGTGTTCTACAGAGGCAAAATTACTCACGGCTGCCATAATCATTATTAAATTATTATCAGTGCTTCATTGCTTCCCTTCCAAATAATCAGTAAAAAACAAAATAGTACTGGTAATTTCCGCCATACTATACTTTCTTTTAATGTAAATGTCTCCGTGCTACATTAACTTTATTTTTTCTTTAGTCGATGTTCCCTCGCTCACTGGACTGACAAAGCTAAATATCGGGGACAACCTGATAACGCATATAAGCTGGAGCACATTCTTCAAGTTAAAGCAACTGGAATTCATCACACTTTGGAGTAACAAGTTTCGATGTGACTGCGACATTCTGGAACTAATCAAGTACGTCAAGTAATAATGACGTCGTAAACCCATGTCACCTTGCTTCATTCTAAAATAAACTTTCAGACAATATTGATTACCTACATTTAGTCGCGTCAAATGATGATGCTCCTTCCTACCTAACTTTATTCATGACTTCATTGCGATAATTACAATCAATTTATTCATTATATTAACAAGAAAGTAGTTGGAACTGATTGACTGAACTTGGTTGCCCATGAGAAAACGTAAAACTTGCAATTTCTAAAAATTTGTTATCGGATCTCAACTTCTTCAAGTTTCAAAACCTTCTGCCATCATAAGGAAGTCTGTAGATACATGCCAGCGAGTTGATGAAATGTACACAAAATAGTCATTCATACACGATAGAATAGTATAAAGCCAAAATTCATGTACAGCATAAGCATGATTGATACATTACACAGAAGTGATAACAGATAAGCGAAACCAGCAACTAGGTTCTAATGATAACAATTAGTCCTCGTAACATCGAAGTGAATTATTGCAAACGCTGACAAAATATGGAGTCATACATTGTGCGATGAATCACGCGTTGAGATATCTTCTTAACCCACAATAAAAATACGTTGCCTAATATGTAGATGAATTATGGTATGTAGATGTATATCCGAATGCAAACTTGAATTCGAATTACTAGAATGAAATCCAGTGAGATATATTTTAAAAACAAAAGCTTATTAAAGGCCATCGCCGAGGTGAGATTATACGAAAAAAAAATTTCACTTGTTTCTTGAGCTTTTCCTGAAGAACTTTGACTGAAACTGTGTTGTGTGGTAATTTGCGTGAGATTTAATATGATACCGCTTCTGAATTTATTATTTCCTTATAGCTAATATTGGGTAGTATTCCGTTATTACATCACCGAAAATGTTATGATCTGTTTACTCCGATACGTCTATCCTAGTTTAATATTTCCTACAATAACAAACCAACTTAGCCTAATCTAACATTTAAGATAAAAAGAATCATCAGAAAATTAGTAGTGGAGGATGATCAGGATAATGTTGTAACATTCGAGCGTCTTATGACAGAATGTTTCAATAAAGGTAGTGGAAAGATAGTTTCATCAAAAGTCCGACTGTCCCACGTAACCTTGCTTGTACTTGGTATTCAAATCTAAATTAAGCATTCACATTCAAAATAGAACTTCCCAGACCTTTAAGCGCGCCATCTTATCAGTGCGTTGTTACTTGTGCGACCATAGCTGTAAAATGGTTAAGTCATCTACCAGTAATGACCATGAGGCAACATCAAACATAACTTTCAGAGTCGCAAGGATATGACGCGACAGCTATGACATTGTCATAGCATGAAAAAGACCGCTATTTAAACTCGTCATAAATGTACGCTTGATCAAGTAAACAGCTAACGCAAGATACACAGTGCAGCATTCGGACGACAGCTCATGAACATAATAATATAACCTAATGTATTTTATAAACTGCTTTATCTGCAGGTGGTTCAAGACAACTTCGCGTGGGAGGTCAATTACCACAGACAAAATACCCGAAAATAACAACACATGTACGACTGAGAAGTTAATTGAGCCGTGCTTTAAAGCCAAAACTGTCGAGGTAAATTACTTTTTACAGAAAATTTGCTCAAATCAGAGATTCAGTTAAGTTAGTTCAGTTAGGGCTTTATGCTGGTAAATCATTTAAATTCTTGAGCACCGCTTGGTATTGGTGTTGGAATCTGCATTTTAGTGATATACCGCCTAACAAAACTGTTACCGCCGCAATGGTAGACGACGACTGTCTATTAGATAATTAATTAGAAAATATTTTTTGATACCATGAATAGCATAACATTGCAATTGCAATTATCATCGAAGTGATTTTGCGCAAAAAAATTCGTAGTACATTATTTCTAGTATAAATACTAAACTTTCAAATACTATATATTAAAAATAAAGGTCACAGTTGGTTTGTTAAAGCTGATTGATCCCTTGATTACTAAAGCTGACCTTGTCCTTAACACTGAAAAATCAATTCTTTTTATCGATAGTATCAGGTCATTCCACTACACATATTAGGATATAGGTGTTAGGTAGTTGTTTTTTATTTTTGGCTTGAAGATGATGTTAAATTCTTAGGTAACGCACGTTCACGACAATGGAAGTAGAGCTCCAGTTCTAAAACCGGAAGCATCGTCCTCATTATATACAGCAGTCTACGTGCAAAGCCACATTGCACAACTTCGCTGCAATGTAGCAGGCAATCCGAAGCCTCTTATAGTATGGAAGACGCCATCCGCCGGTTACATATACCCGAATACAGGAAACCGCTTGCAGGTAGGCAAGGGCTAAATTTTCAAAATTAGGATGGAGCGATATGTAAGATGAAGCAAGCCATAAGCCAAAACACCGTCCAAAATGAAGCGACGCACTTGCTTGTGGTTGGAGTCGTGAGTTCGTAATAGCCATCATATCAAAACCGGCATGTTTCAATCAAGATTATGACATGTTGTCTGAAATAGCTTTTCAATAAAAGTATATGACTTTCCAGTAAAGTGTATAGTTTCTTACATGTTGGCTCACTACACAGGCATGTCTTTTATTTTCAACACGTTTGACTAAGACACTTTTTACACAGGCATATTCAAACGGCACTTTAATTATCCGGAATTTACGAATATCGGATACTGGCAAATACTCCTGTCACCCTCGTCTTGTAGAGGCTTTGGATCTGTCGTCACCTATTCTAGAGTTGAAAGTCGTTCGGGGAGTCAAACCAAAGATTACGTTTTCCGACGAGAAACTTCAGGTAGAAATTTAATTGTCGATACAAGACTTCACTGTATAATTACCCGTCAATGTATTATTTAAAAAATGGCATATACTTTGCTTCTGACGACATTCTAAGTTCTGTCAAGCAAATGTAAATGAAATGAATTTTTTTTTCAAAATCCTTCCGATGTCGCCACACTGTTAAAGAATACAATGAACTACGACGGGCGCCATTTTAAATCCACTATTATTACACAAAAAGTCGATTACATGTCGATTTTTTCATTTCACTATGTTATGAATATTTATGGTTTAAAATCACACAACGAAACACTGATGGCAATGTTATTTTTGTTCAGGGTATCTTGGGATCTGGAGTGATAATGCGTTGCAGCGCAGCAGGTAATCCGCCGCCGTCAATACATTGGTATTCTCCAAATTCAACTGGTCCTCTTGATATTCATAATTTTTCAAGAAAAAGCGTTAAATTTCGTATTAACAAAGACGGAGAAGAATTACTGATATCTAACTTTTCATTCGAAGATGCAGGACTTTGGAGATGCAGAGCGAGAAATAGCATGGGTAAGACATTATGAGTAAGGCACCTATTTAGGTCGTGAAAAATCGGACTATTGAAACAATTCGAGTACAACAATGATGATTGAAAATACTTCTATAACAACTTAGTTCCTGATCGATGTTCTTTGCTCGTGATCTAACAACAATAACTTTTCCGCCTAAAATTCCTCACTGTTTACTATTATATAGTAATTTCAATCAATTGAATTTTGAAGGACGAATTTATAGAGCATCAAGTTCTTCTTAAATTGATTAATGCAAAATATTTTTTGACATTTGCCATTTCATATTATTATCCTAGCAGATCTATTTAACGAAACGTTATTCAAATTATGGCCGATAATTGCATGTACTTGCTTACAAAATCATAATCCATGCAAATAATTTCAATCTTATTTTCCAGGTTTCGACACATCATACATTCAAGTGACTTATAAATCAGCAGAAGACGATCTTTTATTGATATTAATCTCCATTGCGAGTGTCGTAATTGTTGTCATCATCATAGTCGTAGTAGCCGTCACATGTGTGATCTCTCGTAGAAGACGAATGTCTCAAAAACAAACTCAAGCAGGGGAACAGCAAGACAGAGTAATCGAGAGCACAGGACAAGATAATCAAAGTTATTCGCCTGAAGAACCACAAACTCTTCCCGTGGATGAAATTCTTCAACAGCCTTATACACAAGTCCCAGAAATAAAAGGCATTCGTATATAACAAACGGATAAAATTCATTGTATGTGAACATGACAATGCGATCTGTGCTGTCGAGCTTGAATTGAAGCCTACTATTTCACTTTTTACGACTGTGTTTCTTCTTCTTGTTTTCCTTTTTCTTGCTGGCAATAACATTTGAAAATAAGATATTCTTGAAAGCCCTTTGTTTTTTTGTTAAAATTCAATGCAAGTCATGATATTGTCAGATTCGTCAAGATTTAATAAGCATAATATTTGATAATTCGAGGTTGACAGGAAATATCACCTATCCTAACTATCAAACAGCGTTACTACTTAGTATAAGTGCAGAATATTTCAGGCTTTAAAACCGAAATAGGCATTTATACGGCGAAATATTACAAGGCAACATTTCCTTAGATATCCTACACCAAGTTCCATGAACTGGCATGATGAAACGCAGTGCGAGGTTGCGAATGGAGGAACGAACAAAACCCCAAAAAATAAATATAACAATACCATACTAAAAGTATACTGATAAATAATGCTAGAAATGAAAATTTGTATTTGAATCAGTAGCCTCAACAAGTCAGAGACTAGGGCTGTTGTTTATGTTGAAAAACAATATCTGCTGAAAAAAAGAGAAACTATTCTAAAACTCACCAGATGACATAAGTGCTTTATTTATTCTTCTAGACAGGCTACGTACAGGACTTGCTTCTACAGTCGGCGGTCCAGGTCCTCCTTCCATGGGTGGTGGAGGCAATTCCCGTTTATTCTACATCACAGAAAAAAAAAACAGTAATTGAGTAAGATGCAATTCCTGGCATATCCGGAGTTCATATATAATAGCATCCCAGTTTTAAACACTTTTTAAGCTGAAAAGGATTCCTTTGTTAACAAGTGAATAGCTGAAATCCTTGTCCTTGTTTTCATACCCACTCATAAGTCATGATTTTTACCCCATGAAGTCCATGCATCAGTAAGAAATAACTGACAACTATTCACATACCCAACATAGGCAGGCAACTGAACGAGAGACCATACTCTCATCATTCTCTGTTACAGAATGGACATGGAAATCCTATTTTGTCCATTTATAGTTTCTAGTTGAGTTAGAAATGCAGTTCAGACAATAAAAAACAGTTGCCGGTACGTCAGAATCTTGTCCCCAAGCTGAACTGACCGACATAACCTACTTGAAAAGATGAAACTAATACTGAATGAAAAACGGGACTTACCATTGAAGATCTGACAATATAACTCTTTGTTGTATTATTCACCATACAACAATATCCATCAATTAGATCAGCAATATTTTCAGCTTCAAATAACGATGTTGTTGTAATGGTCAGTGGCTGAAAAAATAGAGAAATTTTTAAATATGGGAGAAATGGTAGAAATATCAATACAAAATAATTTTGTATTCACCATTTCACCAATGCACGAAGGGGAAGCTGTCTTTCTCTAAGTCTGACTGGTGGATAACTTACTAAATTAACATTAGTTTTTGAGCTTGGTTTGATTTTTTTAGATACACGTTCCCATAACACAGTCAATTATAATATCTGTAAATTAAGCACAGTGAAGCAACAATTCAAGAATTTGCAGCTCGAACACTAATTGGAAGTCAATCACATACCGGTACCTTGTTCTGTCATAGCTGTTATGGGCCATCTTTGGAATCTGATTACTTGCATTTAGGATATTTAAAATTCACAGGCAAAATAATTATGATGGTTGAGCAATTTCGATGCGCATGACATGACAGTTACATAAATTTAACCCTGTAATGTTGATCAATGAATTTTCTCCACTTTCTCTTATCAGAATTGCTGAACTGGTAATAACCAGAATAACTACAAAATAATTCATAAACTCTATACTGACAAATTTAATACTTCTGGCTATAACAACCAGTTTCAATAAGTCAAAAAAGATTAAACCAATATGTCTGCATATAAAATGTCACAACATATCACAAAATGTCGAAACTTCATCATATCAGAAGTGAACTGAAATTAGGTGGCATTAGAGTAACCTGCTATGACCCCCAGTTTCTAAATTTCGCTTGTAATATTGATCAGCAAATATATATGTAAATACAGTAAAATAAATAGAACTCGGTTACTACATGATTGACAACGAGTGTAAACCGAACTCACACAGACTCAAAATTTGAACATCAGATTCAGATACATTTTGTTTTGACGTCGATAGGTATGTGATGATGGAGTAACACAAAAAATATATAGTCAACAACTTTTGAAAAACTCAATATTTAAGCTAATCTAATTATTCATTTGGTGTTATAAATAACTTTGACAAGAAGAAAATAGTGTTTCACACAAATAGGTATGGGAAAACTGACATTATTGGCAGATTTCAATCAGAAGATAAACTCCCTATACCCTAAAAATCTCGAGGAAGCCCATTAAGTGATATGCAGAGACCCCGTTAAAGGCAATAAACTGAGCGAGGTACTGGGAGCCTCGTAAACAAAGCAAAATAAATGAAAATTGAGATAAAGTGGATCAGATATTAAGCGGTTATGATCGTCAGTAAACATCAGCCAAAATTCTTTTCATCACTTCCACTTTCCTGCCCAGCATCACTAAGACTTCATAATCCAACAACTTATGCTACCATTTATGGTGGCTTAAAATATATTGATATTCTTACCTCATTTGTTCCTTCAATTCGTAGTTGCAGAGTTCCTTTCTTTGTTGGATCTGTTGATGATGAAGTTTGAATGGATTGAACCTGTAAAAGAAAAGAATTATGTTAATTAATGAGTCCAAAGTTGCATTGTTGCTTTTATATATCTTTATTCATATAAGCTAAGAATAATTATTAATAAAGTTAGATTACATTATATATGACGGATTTTCCTCATATTGTATGTAATATTTCTAGGGCATTGTCGCATTTAGATACTTCATACAGAAATCGGAGGTGGAGAAAAATAGCTATTCTGCACTCATTATTAGCTGTTACAAGTTTTGTAAATTGCAATTTTCGCAATACATTTACTGAATTCAACTCCGACAGTTTTAAAATTTTAAATTTTGTCTAACATATACATATATATATTTAGTACAGTGATTTTGCATTTCAAATATTGAAATATTGCGGTGCTTTTCCATTTTATTGAAGAAAATTGGCAAACATTTCTAACATACAATACCCAAATTGGACAGAAAAAATGGAGGACCAGACGAATAGTAGAAGATAAACAGGCCTAGTTTTCATAAGTGTGAGAAGAATGATATAAGAAAACACTAGATTAGAAAAAAATTAGAAACATTTAAAAAGGCTTCCATGTAAATTACCAATCACCACATATCCTTCCCTCAAACAAACCATTCCAACATACCTGATGAAATTCTGCTAACACAGTAGGTGATGAACCTTTCGTTGTCCAATAACTTATTCCTTGTTCTGGTCCAATAACAATCTCAACTGCAATACTCCATTCAGTCTATAGAAAATACAACATCGAAACAAAAATTGAATATATCTCTAGATTAAACATTCTTAAAAAAAAGATTGTTTTAAAGCTGATTTGAAAACACAGCCAAACACACTAAATTGGCAATAACAAGTGTGTATCATACAAATATAGCACATAAAAAAACGCTTCAACCAGACTGCAACTGCAAGCGAATTACATGGTACGACTATATTCATGAAACTATACCTTTTGGCTAATAAATACAATTTGACTTCATGTGAAATCAAAAGTATTATATTTTAAGAATTTTATCATCCAAATTCAAACTGACTGCACTGATACATGCGTATTGTTCTCACAATGAGAGCAAACTGACGAAATGTATTGCGTATGGTCTGAAGCAGCTGGATTCCATAATATAGGAAGTAATAAGAAAAATATTGAGAGAATAAATAGAAACCTGAAATTCCAAAATCGATGTGAAATATCTAATTAAAGATTACACTCCAACAACGAAACAATGAATGTAAGAAGAAAAGACCACTGTGATTAGAATAGCTTCGTTCATTACAAAATATTGTGAATGTGAAAAAAATAGGTTTCTGCATAAAACCATAGCAACCAAACACAAAAAACTTGAAATTCCAGCCAATGAAAACCACGAAAAATACCGATATAATAATTTTGAATACTACTTCAAACAGAATTTTGAACAGCAAATGAATTTTGACAAAATGTTCACGCTAAAATAATCGTTCATAATAAGTTGAATTAACAACCATAATCCTAGTCATAGAAGCACTCATTGAATAATAACATTATTTCGATAGTTAACTTGACCAGGTTGCAGCAGAAAATCATGGAGCCTTAAATTCACATTCGCTTGTTTTTGTATTATGAAGAAAAGAAAATGAAAAAGACAAAAGCTTATTTACCGTGAAATGAATTTTGAAAATGGGGGTTGAACTGGAATACAAACAACAACACAAAGTAATTATGTGAAAAACCCTTATTATGAGAACTATAAAAAAATCGTTAATAACTCACCCCAAGAGCACATTTATAAATTTCGTGATCAAATCTAGTTTTTCCTCTTAAAATGTCAAAAAATTTGAAAACGCATCTTTCTTCAGATAATGCTGAGATTGATTTAAATTCTTTAGCAATAAGTCGACGTAATTCTTTTGTTTTGATGCCTTCTATTACACTGTTTGGCAAAAACTTGCTGAGACCAACTTCTCTCCTGTTCAAAACATGTTCAAAAATATTATCTCCACATAAACCTATACAAACCCAGTGACATTTATTATTAATATTCATCAATAGATTGCATGATATTTTTATAGGTGAAAAAAAAAGAGAGGTCGGATGAACAACCTAGCTCTAATGGGCTATAGCAGGCAGGGGTGTGCAATCTGTGGCCTGCGGGCCAAATGCAGCCCACAAGGGAAAATTATGCGGCCCCCGAAACAAGTTTTTAATTTACTTTAATTTAAACTGGTATGTGTGAATAATTCCAATCCCTCTGTATTGTGAAGCCTATGCCTGAGTCCAATTATTATTTATGCTTATGATGTTTCAATGTCGTAAAGTTTTTTGCCTACAACTACTAGAAAGCCTATGTTAAATAAAGGTGCGGCTTACGATTTCACCGGGTTATTTGTATCTGGCCCTTCTGTATTTAAGGTTGTACATTCTTGGGCTAAAGCACTAAGAATCACAAAAAATCAATTGGGTACTTTTTTTTATAATTCAATTGCTAAACAAATCGAACAATCCCATATTCCAATGAAAAATGGCCAAATTAACAAATTTTTCAATATACAATGACAACAAAAGTATAATTATAAACTTAGAGCATGATGGTTTTACAAATTAAACAGTCACTCCATTTCGAGTGAATAAAAACTAACTCTGCTTAGTGCTTATATTGATTGAAATATGTATATATTGATATTATTATATTTGACTACTCTGAATGTAAATAAAAATAACATAATCTCTTTCCACGAAATATCAAGTATATTTATGAGATTTCGTTAGACTATAATCTAACGAAAAGCTCATAAAAATAAAACAATTGTTTTATCTGAAGAAGTTAGACTATGATCTGACGAAAACTCATAAATATACTTGATATTTTGTGGAAAGAGATTATGTTATTATTAGTTATCTTCATAATACTATCTCAGTCACGCATCCTTGTGGCAACAGCCACATACAGATCCGGAATAGAAAGTAAACAAGGGGAAAGGACCTGCAGTTCAATACACAATACCCTAGGCATCTGAATGGCCAGGACTTTTTGAGAAAAAAAAGGATGACCTAAGAATTCAGTATCAGCAAAATGAACAAATTAAAAAACGGTTTATTAAAATATGAAAAAATAGGAGGACCGTATAAAAAAGATAATTTTTCAATTCAAATTTCAGTTTTTACTCATTATCTCATTTTCATGAGAAAGTATTATCAGGCAAGTCTTGACATCTTGCTTTGAGCAAAATTTCATGAACAATAAACAATTTTGAACTCAATGATGACACTCACTCCAAAAGTTCAAAATTTGATTTCTTCTCAAAGGCAGTTTGCGGTAGATCTTTGAAAAATCTCCGAATCTCCAGACATCCAAGTTGTATGGCTGTTGTATGATCAACTTGTTCAGCCACTTGTTCCAAATAATCCATATGCACCTGTGAAATTCGGTGGAGATAATAGTATATTGTGATCAGTACAATGTGGAACATTCAAAATTTAGCAACATGTCATTGAACATCTTGGAAAGAAGCTAAAATTCATTAGGGATAAATGATTAAAAATGAAAATATTCCTGGCTTCCACCAATACTTATGTAACCAATCTTCGTTTTTACATCGCCCTAACATAAAAATGACTCTCTATTCACACAAAGTGGTCAATTTTGAGAAGTTTATCAATCTTTTAAATAAGCCTAAATAGAAGCTTTTTTGGTTCAACACATCCAATCTTATATTATCCAACATATCTTATAGACCGAGTTAAAATACATCAAACCCAGATTTGTTACTTGCAATGCTTACATTGTCTGCCCTGCCACTGGTCAATAAAAATACAAAATGGTAAAGATGGTCCAAAGATCTCAGATTCAACATCCATGCTTATGACCATGCCCAGAGTGTAATATATTGTGTTGGAGATGCCAAATCAGAAAAATTCTGGTCTGAACTGGCATTGTGGAAATCTCAATAACACTTAATATTCAATAACAAACAGGTTAGGAAGATACCCCCCATCAAATTAAAGTGGCTTCAAGTGTTTTCATTGAAATATTTAAGACAATACATGGATACCAACAATATACCTGGTTATAATAATAAATAAATGTTGTTCTGTCTTTATCATAAAGATCTTGCAATGTTTTCGGTAGATAACGGACACGAAGTTCATATCTAGAAAAGAATAGTGATAAAAAATCACATTGACACAAAAGATAATAGTTTATAATTTTCAAAACAAAAGTATTCAATTCTTTTCATTTTTTGTTTCTCAGCTTTTTTAATCACAGCTTGCTACCATCTAATTATTCAGCAATTATATTAATATGATACAGTGAAAAAAAATATTAAAAATATAATTTTATTTTATTACTTATAATCTCACAAATGCGGAAGAAAAATTCAAAATATTCAAAACACATAAGGTGAAGAAAATGTGTTTTATTCCATACTAACATATAGCAATAATGGAAATTGGAATATTGCAAAACCTTACTTTTCTATATTGGCATGTTTATTACAAGAGAAAATCAATTTGAGTTATTCATATTCAGTTATTGTACAACTAAAAATTAAATATCCCTAATCCCCTAGTTTTCAAATGTATATCCATCCTTAAAAATAAACCATCTTAAATTGAATTCTTAAGGCTGTCAAAATAGCTAGTTAACGAACCTGCAGTCTTCTGGATTATGAAGGTGTCCATATCTTTCTGTAACTTCTTGCATTGTGAGATTGGAATGAAGCCAATGTACTTCTCCAGTTGGTTCATGTCTTAATCTCAATGCATAACTATTTTCATACAACAATCCATTTGGTTGTATACGATTAGCAAGTGCATGAATGATCCCCTAAACGAAATTGAGAATAACTGTAAATTTGTGTTTTTTACGAGCATTCATTTATTGTTTGCTCTAAACAAGCCTTTGCACAAGCACCCATGGTTAGGTAAGTAGTTACTATGGTTTGAAATCTGCCTGTCAAACTTATTACACCTTGGGTGAGGATTTCTCCCTGATATGCTGTCATAGGGGGTTTGGGATAAAAATTTGTCATAGGGGGTGGGTTGGGGCTAAAAATTTTGCCCACCAAAACCAGTGGGCCATGTAAGTGTGATGTAAAAAGTTACATGTGACCGCACGCAAGGCGAAAGGAAGTGGTGTGAAGAGCACGCTGTCGAATCAAGTGAGCGAGAAAACGAAAAGTTTTGTTAACGTCCCCTATCATGAAACTATGCGATAACCTGAAATACAAATTTAACAGACTACGATCATAATTTAAGTCTATTGCATGCAATGCCAGATTGAATCACCAAACGGGCTGGAGTTGTTTGCCCATGTCAGCTGAAAAGTGAAAACACCAACTCCACTAATAGATCTTATTAATAAGACCGAAAATGCAATTTCTACTATTGCCAAATGGTTAGAATTTAGTGGATTAAAAATTGATTCCACAATTCTAGTATGTCAATCCATTGATCAAATATGGTATGAAATGCATATTTGTGAGTGACAATATTTTAAGAAAATAAAATCAGCATAAGTATTCCAAAAGTTTATTAAATATAAGAAATCGGCAAAATAAAATAAGAAATTATATGCAAATAATAAAAAATCCAACTTTTGAATCGTAATTTCAAGTCAGATTCAATATCAAATATGTTTTATATCACAAGTAAATACCAAGTGTGCGTGAATTATTGAAGTAAAAAGTAAGAAAAAACCCAATCTATATTTGACGTCATGATCATGACTGAAAACAAACTACAAAACAAAAAATGTGATTTAAACAATCAATCAAGTCGTTCAAAACTTGATAGAGTTATGAAAAATAAATACTAACTTAAAGAAACGAATATCTGATCAATAAATAAACTTTTATAGGTAATTGAACATCATAATTTTGAGAACTTTCAATAAAAATGATAACTCAGATTTTTGTTGAATAGAAATTTAGTTGTCTAACCTTTGAGGCAATACATAGCCGGCCTACGAAATTATCTATCAAATCAACATCAATTTATTATGAAACCACATAATTGAAAAAAACGTTCATGATCATTTCTTTCAAGGATGGAGAATGGAAAACAGATCAACACAAAACCTCAAACACTTATTTTTCACCAAAACATAAATTACAATAATTGGAAGCATAGCAAAAGGCAGACAACAAAGGAAAACTCTCGTTTCAGTTCTGTAATAACCCAAAAAAAAAAAAAATGTCTGTCAAAGGTTGGCATAAAAATTCATTGTATAGAAACCTACCTTGATATCAATAGAATCAGCATATTTAACAGTACTGAGAGATCCATTTGCTTGGTGAATTTTAATCAAGCTCTTGTCGAAACTTCCAAAGTTTGGAACATCACTAAAAAGAAAAATTAGACAATTACTATTAGATTGACTAATGACTAATTAGGATAAGATTATAAGAGATAGATTTGAAAAAGTAAGTTATAGAGGTGACACATTAGAGTTCTGGCTGATCATGGATCAATTTGACATAATTAACGCTCCTGAGTTTTTGTGTGAACCCCCGGATCCACTCGCATAATTCCGATAAGTTGGTCAGCTAAAGGAAGTTGTTTGTAGCAATATTCAATAAGAGCATAGATGTAACATAACAACATTATGTTCAGGAGGTCAGCTCTACTTCAGTACCACCAATACTCCACTGGCTCAAGAAATCAATATTGGTCTATTTTGAAAATGTTTGGCATTTGATTATTTTGAATTTGCATATGATTTATACAGTTGGGATATTTGGTGGATGTCTAGTATATTGACGAAGAGTTGCCAAGCTTTTTCATAATTTAATGACATCAACGGACATTTCCGAGACACTGAGTGATGAAAAAATGTGCATCAGCCTCAACCGCACATCTGTTTAACAGCAATGATTACAATATAGGTACTCCCGTAGTGTGTTTACCAGGTTAGGTTTAGGCCATAATTTTATTCCCAATTTCCTTATTTTAGTTCTATTGCGAGTTTGGGTTGTCTGTGTTAGCCAAGTGAATATACCCCCTGCCCATAGATTTCAGTCCCTTCACACAACTTGATTTAAAATGGAACAAAATTAGTTCCCTTCATATTGATACACACACTTCTGGAGCAGCACATTTCATCACTCATTTCTGCACTTTCTTAGTACTCCTAAATACTATGTAGTAGCCTACCTGACTTCTTAGTTTTAATGAATAAGTCGCAAAAAATGTTTGATTTAAAAGACTTACGGCTGTCGTCTCGGCACAGGAAGTGAGGGTTGTTTATTTCTGTTCATATTTTCTTGTTCGTTTTCTTTGGAATGAACCCAGTTTGCGTTGTCTTCGTCGAATCCTGAAAGAAATACATATTTGACATATTTTCTGGTTAATATAAATTGTATATAATATACAGGGTGAAAAATAAATCCAAAACAGTAATAGAAATGTTTATACCTAACACTTCGGTATTCTAGAATTATGCTATAGCGTTAATATGAAGTATAAATAACGAATGAATTGGATTTGGGTCAAAGATTTTGATAAAACTACGGTAATTTGAGTTTGTGAAATTCTGCAGTGATTTCCTTGCAAAATTACCAGATGCAGAAGATTTTAATCATCTTAATTCTAAATAAATTTTGAATATTTCCAATCACTATCAGATCATATTTCACTAGTTTAGTGTAAGCAATACCATGACCTAATTTAAGATAACCTATAACCTGCACCTCAATATTCAAGTACAGAAATTTCAAAGAAAATGTGATTAATAAAACTATATTTAAAGTAATAGAATTATCAATAAATCGTATATTTGATCATATTGCTTTGACAGTCATGACCAATACTCGAGCAAGAATAGCATGTTAGGCAATTATATACTGCCTAATTAATCAATCACCAAAATCATACACAAATTTTGGTACTAACATAGTGTATGTACCAGGTTAGGGTCAGACCATAGTTTTATTCCGATTTTCCTTATTTTAGTCCTATTACGAGTTCGGGGACTGTCTGTGTTAGCCAAGTGAATATACCACCTGCCATAGGTTTCAGTCACTTTATACAACTTGATGTAAAGTAGGCAAACAAAATTAGTTATCTCCATATTGGTATATACACTTCTGGAACGCCCAAATTTGAATAGATAAGGCATATAATACATGGAAATCATGCAGATATCGTAACACGTAGGGTAAAAGTGGGATATTTGCCAAGCAGCTCTTCCATTTAAAATTATACAGGGTAACCCGAAAAATAAAACCCAGGCCGCTCATAACATATTCTTGAAAGGACATAACTTCCTGAATTACTGAAACTTTTAGGTACAATCATGCACAAACAGAAGTTCAAGTGCTACATAAATTTTATAAGTCTTCTGTTAGTATTTTCTAAGAAGTTCTGTTTTTTCGGTCACCCTGTATGATGAGTTTCTACTGCTGTTTTTCGTAAAGTTCAGTTTCAAAAAGGTTTGTAATATTGAAACGTCAATCTAAGAAAGAAGCTCAATAACAGACAGATAAAGTCAATAAAAATACACTTCTTAATATTAAACCACTAACTAAGTAATCTCAAATAAAGCAAATTTATAACGAAAAATGGTGTTCTGCTTTCCCAATCAGCATCAATAACACCACAAAACTTGATGCAAAATACTATATTTTTCAAGTAACCAATGATTAAATAAGCATATCCTTAACTAAGCTTTATATTTTTCATCTTATGATAGTCCTACCTACCATTCCATTCAACACAGACAACAAATATTGGTAGCTCATCCCAAAAACTGTCACCTAATAAAAATTTATTAAGGATAGTTTACGGCCATGGAATGAGAGACAGCACAGGAAGTACTATTAATAACTGCTGCTAAACCTCTTCTATAATATGATACTGAGTATTCATAATAAAAAAGTGACCAAATTAGCTCTTCATTGATACTTTACTAAGGACAAGCTGCCACATATTTGCTTGCGTGAAAGGATTTTTAGGACTTCTCATTCACTTATGTTAACTGTAAGATGATGCCAATATTTCTTTGATTTATTATTGTGTAATGAGAACCCCATATTAATAAATAAAACTAGTAAATATTAAAGGGAATTTTCAATTATTTTTTCCGTTTTTTTTATATTCACTTGTATTCATAATTTATTGATTCTTCAAAACAAAAAAGTCTAGCACAATTCATTACCCTGATGAAATACTTTAATGTAATGTTCATTGAAAAATAATTTAAAAATTTATTTCATTATTAAATATGAATGATGGATATTTTTTGTGTTTCAGATATAATCTATTTTATTCGATTTAATAACTTTTTTTAATTCAACATGAGACTACTTCGATAACTTATCATTATGATAGAAGCCTTTTAAATGTTTCGTAATGTCACACACACTCAGAAGTAAAGTGACTTTTCTCTCTGAGAAAAGGAACGGGCGATCACGGATTATATATATTAATGATGGTGCATTACCCAATAGTGAATGCTGATTGTCACTACACTTAAATAGTTTAAGTCCAATATGAACAGAAAGACAGGAGTTATTGGTTAAAAAGTTCTGACATTAGAATTCTCTGCCTAGAGGTAAACTGGTAATAAACAGATGTGAGTTCACAGCCAATCAAGTGTTACGAATGAAAACATTTCTAAAAAGTTCCGAAATCAAAGGAAAGCACTCACTTTTCAAATACCGAATATTATTTATAAACTGGACTATAGAACTTCCCATATTTTATAACTACAAAGATAAAATGGCAGCTAAACAATCTGTTGTTTTACAACTACAAAACCAAAATATTATTCAGGTATTTGATTATACACCAGCTCAGTGAACATAAAATTACCTGCACAACAAATACATATACTCGGTACATCTGGTATTTTCAACCAATACCAACCATACCAGTTACCACACAGCCATTCAATGACTTAATCAACATTACCTTCTTCCATCTGAGTTACCATGATCTCTGGATTAACAGAGTCAGAGTTCACCTCCTGTTGGTCAGGTTGAGAAACATTTAAAACCATCATAGCAATTTCATTTGGTTTTTCCAATTTATTAATCCAGTCAGTAATTGTATTATTAGTAAATTCCAGTTTTTCTTTTTTTAACTATGGTTTCGCTGTTAGTATCAACATAATTATAGAAAAATTTTGACACTTGAAACATTGATACTCCTATAAAGAGAGTATCAGTATCAGTAAAGCTATAGTAAAAGAATGAACTTAAAACTGAACTGAAAAAGTTATCAACATTATAGGAATGAAATACTAAAAAATAAAGCTATATATCGGCAATATTATACTTTAGCAAGTCTTTAAACTAATGACCCATCTCTACCTTTCCTCACTTTACCACCATAGTTGAAAAACCACAAGTAGCCAAGCATAAACTAACAAGATTAAATATTTTAATATTATATGGTATAATAGGGAAAAGTCACAATCTATGTTACAGTTTTTAAAAAATTGGGTTCAGGTTCAAAAGAATAGAGTTGATATGTCCCGATTGGATATGTAATAACAATACCAGACAATACATTTAGACCAGGTTTGACAAATCAATTCTCAATATTACATTCCTAGATCTGCCACACAGAAAAAAATATTCAATAAAATAACAAGAAACTCAAAAGAAAATCCTTACCGAATCCCATATTATATTCCCATTCAAGATAAGTATTGTGACATCCCGTACAACTCCAAAAACATGACATTTGCATGTTGTGAGCCATATGCCAAGGACGATAGAAGACCATGAAAACGCATCAGCAGATGACGACGACGAAAGTAAAAACACTTTCAGAAACAGCTTTACACAATTAGGTTAGCGATGCAGAGCCAGCAAGACCAAACCAATGTCAGCCAGACGCACTCCAGTCTACCCACTCGACAAATTTAATGCCTTTGAATGTCACGAGAACCTATTTGTTTTTGGTTATTTCGTCAACTAGGAATTTCGAAACAACTCCCAGTAATATATTCATGTTTGATTTCGGACGGCCGCAGGTGAATTTACGTCGTATATTTATGTTTGGCCACACCCGACTCAATTTGATTTGATGAATCAACACGCAGTTCCATTCTCCCGTCATAAATACTTTTGTGCTAAATAATGGAAGATCAGCTACCATACCAATGAAAGGATTAGTGACTGAAATAATTTAAGTGGTATTTTCTACTAGTGTGTGCAGTGCTTCATTATGCCTTATGGGCATTTGTACTTAATCACTATTTAGCCAATGCAAAAGCAGGATTTCATGCTTTATCCAAATTCACACAACGTTACGGTGGTTAGAGACAGGAGTTTAAATTTCCAAATGACGCACAGGTGACGTAATACATCGAGGACGATACCAAAAATAGGGAGTTAGGTCATGTTTATGGCTCTCTGGCACGAAAAACTATGCCGAAATACAATTATCGAAGACATAATTTGCGTGTTGGTAGAGGAAATGCACAGACAAAAGCTTTTACCGTCGTTGAAATGTGGCTTAAAATGCATAACACGACTTTATGAAGTGTTCTGGTAACGACAGACATGAATTTTTTGATAAACCAGGCCTGAATGAACATTATTGGTTCATTAGACCAAGTTATGGTCACTAGCAAAGGAACGATTAAAATGTAGCTCAACATAAAGTCGACACCTCATATAAAAAATAAAAACGGTCGATTCTGAGATATTCCTCGGCCTTAATAAACACACTGAAACAACACTAATTTCACCGCAACCTCGTGAAAACATAAAAAAATTGTGTTGGTTGAAAATCCATTTTCTCGATCTGAATTCTGCTCCCTTCAAAATTGACATCACTCAGACAGTCGCATTAGAATTTTAATTTTCACATTACAGTATTTGGAAACAACAAATTTGCCGTCATAAATAAGCTCACACCAAGCTGCACTAGACACCCAAACAAAAGAATAAGTATGAAGTTATACAACTACTAAATCTTATGTCGTTTTGAATGCATGATGTCGAACCGTGTCCAGGATGTGGCAGTACAACAAATCAAGCGGAAGTACTGAAAGGTCCTTTTAAAGTGTATGAACAATGCAGTTACTATTCGAAACTTTGTGAAACAAAAACCACTGAATTTTGTATTTACTGAATGCATGTATCCGAAACATCGCGAAACAAAAGCAAAAGAAAGTCGCGTACTGTCGATATGCGGTAACGACCCTATGCCCCTACAAGACATAAAACATCTTTCAACAAACTATATCCATGATATGCTAATGTCACATTTTCAAATACCTAAATTCTTGGATTATGCTGAGATATGTATTTACTTATCTTAAATATACATGATTATAACAGTTACGTAAAGTAAAGAAAT